GCAAAATCGACGCCGTGGTACGTTGATGCCGATGGCACCATTGAAATTCCGTACAGCATCACCACACGCGGTTTCCAGTTGGATCACATTGTGGCCGTTATCTAATGATTTATGATTGACAATCACTTCTAACGGCATGGATTTGCTTTTGATTAGACGATGAATGGCGTTCAGGTTCACCCATAAATTGTTGGTGTTGAATATCTTGAATTTAGAAATACTCTTGAATTCATCCACCTGCATCCCAAAAAAAGACAAGAATCATTAGATAACGGAAATAGAAAAACGGAAAATGCACACCTAATAGAAAACAGAAATTATAAAATTATGTTAACCCTTCGGCAACCTTGGACCTATTCACGCTGGCATCGGAACTGCGGTATGTTTACAAATTAATGCTGTGATATAACGTATTTTGATATTTGATTACGTAGCACACAATGCTCTCATAATTCTACTTACGTGGTCTTTTGGTACTTGAGCAATTTCCAGAAGACGAAGCTTTTTTTCATACATTATCAAAGTGCCTCCCTTCACGTCGGCCCGTGTTTTATCAGTCACTTCCATGACAAACTCATGGGTACCGCCCGATTGGGAAGACTGCAGTAGGAAGTTTAGTATATCTGCAAAATTCACATGAATTGCCGACTAAATATTCACTGTCATTTTGTGCGTGTTGATCCTGATTGAACTCACTCAAATCAACAGTTGCACCCAAGTTGTCAATATTTGACATGAAACAATATTCGCGGCCTTCGCTAATAAACTTGTCCAGTAATCCAGAATTATAAATTGCCTGGTAAAAATCACCATGACCAGGAGGATACCACCTGAAATAAACAAAATAACATTTTCTCTTCTTATTAAATTATTGTCTTTCATAAAAAAAATTTTGCCATGCCTGTAATTTTAATTTACCTTGAACAAATTACTGCTATTTAGTCGCATTTGTTTCTCATGTTTACTGACCGGTGTTTACTGCGGGTCAATCGGTATTGTGCTGGTCAGGGCTCACCAAAGGGTAGCAAAATCAGTCTGCTCTTTGGAATTAGGAAGAATACCGTAAAAGACTGATGTGCCAAAGAATAAATGCGTCATAACCAACATGCTCTATAATTACCTTATTTTACCTTAAATGTTTTCCTGTCTGTTAAACTTCGTCCGCATTACTTTTTCATTTCCACCCTTGAATTTTTACGTGTCTTGTCAATGCTGAATTTCATTTTATACAAAAGCTAGCTTACACATCATTGGCGGCAGAGTTAAGATTTTTGGCAACGGGCATGTGGGTTTCTCTGTCGATCCGGGGAAAGCGGCTCTGTTCGAATGTCAGAATTCGCACTTTCCGTGATTTGTATTTGTGCAGCACTTTGGCCGTATCATCGTTGGTGTTGAATGAATTCATCAACACCAGCGGCACATCCGATCCATAAGTCAAGTTCAGTTGTTCAATCTGGTGCACGGTCAAATCCAGGAACGTTAGATCATTGCGAACTTGGATCAGACTTTTCGGTCCGGTGCATCCCATACTGGTGCCCAGGCCACCATTCAGTTTAACCACTACCAGTTTGTTGAGCATATCGGCAATCACATTCAGATCCTCCGGCTTGCGTAAGTCATCATAGCCAATCACGGCATTATCCGGAAGCTTGTCGATTTTCGTCCACTGGATAGCGTTGCCGGATTCGAGGAGAAAACGTCGGAACAGGCGCTCAAAACCCACAAAATCAGTCTCGAAAGCACTAGCCTTTCCGCTGGGTGAGGTCTGCAGTAACTTTTGCAGCTCCTGTGATAGTGAGTCCAGCGACGTCTGCTTTTGATGGTCGATTAATTCCCCATAGTACTGGATTCTGAAGCAGACATGGTTTTCACAGCCACGAAATGCTAATATGCTTGCGCGAGTGAAAACGCAGCTTTACAAAATAGACAATTTAGTCAACTACTGTAGATTTGATTATAATACGACTGACTACTAATTGAGTAGCCTATGAAGTGTAAAGTGTCTTGTGCACCAGCTGTTGCATCTCGTTGACACAGTACAGTAACAGCCGCCTATTCGTAATCTGTATAATTCTGGTTTCTATCAGCTTATCTTGAATACGGTATATTATGCAATAATACTGAACCGGAGGATGATGAAAATTATCGAACGATCGAGAAAGGAAAGCTGTTATCAGCTGTCTTATCCTATCCTTTCCAAAGAGTTTGTAAATTAGGTTATCATGCGCACGTTTCTTTGAAGTACTATAGCCTAGTTATCGGTTTAATCAATACAGAGCTATTTAACCTGCGCTAAACCAAAATTATCTGCACATGTATATAGGAAGTTTATCAATTTCATGTTGAGTACTTTATTGAGAACTTACCTTATGTCTTCAAGGAAAATTATATTTAACAATAAGAACGATCAATGCGATGCTAGTACAACAGTACAGACACACGGCGATATTAACACCAAAGGTCTAAAACAATCAGTTGATAGAGATGTGACAATTCCAATTTTGCCGCCACAATTTTAAATAGTACTGCATACGCCAGTCAGTTTGATGGCCTTGCAAGTTGGGGATCCTCGCAAGTCAGTATAAAATTTTACGTACATGCGCGATTGATAAGACGTAAGCGGATATTTATGCAAACAGGAGTATGTATCTCAACAAATATACAAAACTGCTGAAATATAAGGTATTTAATATCGACGACGTTATTCCGCTAATACCGCGCGGATCAGTTTTGTTGTGTGTGCTTTTCTGTTCACGGCAAACTAACCTGGTAAGAAGCAATAAGAGCACTATAGTGAGAAGCGTCAAGCGGTCTGACATGGCATAGGTAAGAATAAAAACGTAAGTATTTTGTTTAAACAAGACCTACAAAGCCATCGCATAATTTGCCTTGTGGCAGTCGATCGTTTGCCACTTCCACGTCAGAACCCTAGTAACCGCAAGTCAAAAGTGAGCGCCAACGTGATTGTACTGCATTTAATATCGTATCTGACTGGTAGTACCGTAACCTGCTGCAGTACTTACATACCCGGTATACAGCACTATAATTTTACACTGTAGTACTGTATACAATAGTTGATTGTATACTGCATTAAAATTAATTGCTACTTGCAATTGGATACAAATTGTCTGCTTTAATCCTGCAAATTTAGAATTTACGGTACACACGCAACAGGTACTTACAAGTTACATTAAGTACCCAACGTGTAATTTATTCGACCTATTCCAATTTGTAAAGGTCCCCGCCTATCTCGCCGTAAACAAAATACTGGTACTGTTTGTGAATATTTTGCTCTGCACGTGCGCCTATGGCGGTATAAATACGCGCGTAATCCAACATACGCATAGATGCTGTTTGTATCATAAAAAGGAAAAGGTATTACTCGTACAGGTACATCAACTAACGTAATTTAAAACTTCTTTTTTTAAAAACTTCATGGTTTCAAATTTTGAACAAAAGTACCGAAAATTAATTAATTATCTGCGAGAGTCAAAATTCTTTTATTTTCTGCAAAACAAACTACAAAGGACGCTCCAAAGTAAGTTTCCTATTTTGTATCTCCGGCTTGAACGCTTTTAGTTCTTATGAACCATATTTTTAGAAACGTCCTTCACTCACGAACCAAAATAAAATATAACTCTACCTAACTACAATCAAATGGAGAAGAACTGCCGAGAAAGCCGTCCAAGGTTTTTGGCACTTTGCCACGGGTTTTACCCTGACAGTTTTGTTATTTTTCTCAGTCTTCCTGCTCAGTTTTCGGAAAGCACCAAATATCATCAGATTAAGAATTCTTTTTCTGTCCTAATTCTAAGAACGAAACAAAATAACTTCTTTGCAGTGCTTTTCCAGAAAAGTAGAAACTCGATGACTAGGTGGAAAACCACAGAGCTGCTCAAGGTGCCAGACGGTAAAATATCGAAAATTTCTTGTAAAACATTATTGCTCTCGGTACAACTTGAAGTTATTTGTGTCCAAGACCCTCATGACTGCGCATGAAATTTCCTTTTATTGATGTTAAGAACTTTCGGATTCATATCAGCAAGAAGGCTGAAAAGGGGATTCCGGCGTCGTGGAGAAAAAATGTTTGCTCTCCTCCGTAAATTTTTTCAAAGCCTTCTGTTATTGCAGTAATATTAAGAACAGTATTTGTAGCTGGTACTTTAAATTTGCTGCCGAAATTACAACAGGGACGGAAGTGGTAATAAAAAGAACGAGCTTCGAAAAAACTCGTGGAAATGAATGTATAAGTAGTATTGCTAATTTGTTTTTCGTTTTCCCAGTTCTTCATTAAATCTTTTGATTCTTATTTCTCTAATTAGTTTACATAATTGCTTATACAACAAAAAATATATCACATGTCTGTTACTTCAAATGACAGGGAGACAAAATAGGGAAAGTTACTTTTGGAGCGTCCTTTGTAATAGAGTAACAGCGTATTAGAGTGTCGATGTAGTGCAAGGGCTGTCTAATTACAAGCATTGTCCTCGAAATCCTACGCGGAAGCGCCATCCATCCTGAGGAAAGGTCGCCAGCTCTGGCTGATTCCCATCGGTTGCTATCTGTAAATCGGGCGATGTGTCCGCCTTGCTTGAATACAGTCAGTAAATACATACCCTGATGGAACACCCGGAACTTCGCAAGTGACAATGAATTCGCATGCTGGCATACATCCACAGGACCCGTGTATGAATAATAATTCAGTACGTTTTTTGTTTGCTGCCCCTATAAACAACCCCGCCCAAACTCAAATTGTTTTTAAATTAAAAATCCATCTGCATTTCGTTAGCTGCAGCGTATTTCGAAGCAGCGGATCCGATTACCGAATGCCTTTTGCTGGTTTAGTACGTGATAAATCTTATGGTCAGCGGTCAACAAACAAAGCATGCATTAGCATCCTTAACGGTTTTAGCTCCGCCCATTAGGCTCATTGAATAGTTCGATCTGGCTAGCTACCTTATTGTTAGCTGGACTCCTTGCATATGGTCAAAAGTGAAAGTTGTTATTTTGAGCAGATTTAGGCAAAACCTGCGAAAGCTAGTGTACAGTTTTTGGCTTTTGCATACTGCAGTGTCTCCAGCGAGGTATTCTGCACTTTCAGTCTTTCACCTGTTCGTGTTTTCTAGAAATTCTTGTTTGAGAGCAAAATTATCTGGAATGTGACTTTGTCTGGTGGCACTCTGACAAAATACCTTCCGATATCTTCAGCTGTCCTTGGTTCGCCAACCTGTGAATTCGCGTCTCGATCTGCAACATTAAGATCAGAAATGCCTCTTTACGTAGGGCATGTGAACGTGAGTGAAAATATTGCATTCCTTTCCAGTAACGCTGATTGAATAATTACAGTAATAAAAGATCATGTTCCCGCATGATCTTTATACTTCGGTAATTATTACTAACAAATCCGATTAATTTTCTATACAGCACTTTGTTATTAATCCATGTAGTTTATACGGTACACAAGACTGTTTTAGGGGACATTCAAGTATCGGGAAGTCAACGAAAAAAATTCGAAAGAGATCTTGCATGTAGGTTTTCTAATACCTACTGCACTAACGCTTGCTGCCTGTGTATCTTTCTACTGACCATGGTGAGGTTATCTTTAATTTATCATTCATACTTCTAGTGCCCTTATAATTTTCGCCATCAAGTTCCGTTCGAAGTCTTCCAGAAACACCTGCGGGCATGTCCAGATGCGGTAAACTAGAGAAGTGTTTGATACAAACTTTCCGTTTTTGATCGCTTGCAATCAAAAAATTTTTTCGTTCCAAATTGATGCGCAGCGCTTTGATTTCGCTTTTACATTACAGTACTTATTTCATAATTTTTAGTTTCGTCAGAGTCATACTGGTTGATCGTCTTGATACGTTAATCATAAAACATAGTGATGATATGTTCCACATGCCTGTGCCCGATGTAGGCAGCAAAAAAAGAGCTGGTGGATTCGTGCGAGTTCAACCCAGTCCACTTTTATCCGGCACTGGACGTAGAACGAGAAATTCACCTGCAAATCTGCCCAAACCGGCGACAAGGTAAGCATTGCAACAACGCAATATTAATGTTAAGTAAAAGAATAAAAAGAATGCAAAAATAATATAATTTTGCAAACATAGGTAAAACGCAGCCGTTCACTTACTGTTATCAATGGTTTTTGGCTATCCCGCTTCTACAGATAAGAGATTAATTTTGTTGTTCGAGAAGACAGGTGCATATATTATTACCGGTAGTGTTGTATATCTGCGATTCGGTAGGCAATTGTGTTATACAGCTGCCTACCCAACATCGGTCATCACACTAATACAACCTTATTTTTCTGCTTTCCGGGTTAGCTCCAGTCCGAGAACGACCAGAGAAAAAAGGTCATTTGGTGACCCTGCCGCTTTGTCCGCTGACCCGGAAAGAAGCGGGATTGAAAACTCGGGAGTCTCAGAAGCCGATGCCAAGTGTGGAAGATATTTTGGGACCAGAAGTTCGTTTTGTGGAGCTGGAGGTCGGGTGAAAGTTTAGGTTGTTATCGCTTATATTATATTTAAGAAGAATATATCAGTACAGTTGCTTCATTGATTGGGAGTACCATCATACGAGTACTATCAGATTTATCGTGTATTATTTTTGGGAGTACCATCAGATTTATCCTTGCAAAAGTTGATGCTCCCGTTCATTTACTATTATCAATAGTTTTATTACTTAAACTTTAAAAGTTAAAACAGTAGGATCATTACTCATGGCTCGCCAATTTGTCTAATGATATCATATATCTTCATTAAGTTTATCTGTAGGGGAATTGACCTTTATATTGCTGACTACCGGCAGTCCATATGTCTTAACATCAATAAAATGTACACTGTCAAGCTAACTCAGATAATATGATCGTTCGTCTATTGTGGTTGTCCGTTCATAAAATTTTAGAGGCAGAGTCGGGCTGACGTAACGCTTTAGCCTTATCAGAAATGGTTAGGTTAGTTTGACTGTGTTTAGAAAAATGCTGCCGAACGGATGAATCGAGCCAGGAAGTCCACTCCGTTCGAAGAAGCCATCGAGGACGTTATGAAAAATGGGCCCGAGAATATGGCTATTATCGCCAGTATACTTCCAGGTCAATATAAGCATTTCTTCAAGTTCTCGTAACCTTCAAAATGACTACACATTACGGCGCAGCCTGCTTGACTGCGCGTTTTACGGTGCAAGTGGATGGCATCTTAATGTTTTCTCAATTAACGCAGTTTCCTTTATCTTATAACAGGATGTCCAGAGTGGAAAAGGTCCGGTTTGCGCTGTATTTGGATTCTAAAAGGGAACAAGCAGAACGCGATGCATATTACTCAATTGTGGTTCAACGCCGATATGAAAATTTGTGAAATATGTTGAGAATCCGATTGGATTTCATCAGAGGAAATGAGGAAAAATAAATCATCCTTGATCTAGCATATTCAGAGCTTTTGTTGTCATGCGGCGCCGGTCTTCAGTTTTATGTGTTCCATTGTTAACCGCGTTTCTAGATTCCGAATTGTTCCTTGTTCTGATAATTATTTTCGTTGCAGTGTGTTACTTGCTACTTGTGTACAAAGATACATACCAAACCGAAATTGTTATTTCATCAACAAGAACAATTATCTTGGTACGATTTGCGGCTCTGTTCCGTAATGGAAAATTAGTGTGATGCGATTGGGACTTAGTTGAGTTGTTACTTCAACTATAACCACATGTGTGTTTTATTTCTTATAAAAAGTAAAAATCCGGATCAAAACCAAAGCCTGTAACACAATCAAGTAGAGCGCCCAAAAAAGCAAATTAAGATAACGTACGTACATTACACAAATAATGCAATGTATCTGTACACAATCTCAAAGAATGGTTTATGCAGTTTTCACAATTTAACTATATATATAACAGTTCTTCTCAAATATCAACGATATCCACTTTCATATGGTTTCTGCAGATTGAAGCGGCCAGTTTGTTGGCACAACAGCTGTCATTGTGTACTGGCTGACTAGCCGAATAAAAGCATTTATGTACAGCGAAAAAAAATTCGATTGTTCGATCGGTCTTGCCCTTCTTACGCACAAGTCATTAAAATAGCGTCATCTCAAAAATCAAGTGAAGTTCTTTATAAAGCAGATCACGGTGGGCTGTGCTGCGGACTGTTTTGCCTGGCAGAATCCGTATGATTTACCAAAAAAGTAAAAATATCTTCCTCCTTGTCGTGCAGTTGACGCGGGACGGCGGAATATGTGGGAGGCGGAGAGGGATCCTGTACAGAAAACACATACGGATTTGGTTGAACGACGCTTGTGGGAGACATCGGCAGTAAACAATAGGGAGGAGGTCGTTCACAAGATTCACTTCCAAGTGTGGGAAAGGATTTTACATCCTTTTCATAGTTCCTGTCAAGGCAGTCGGCAATATTGCCATTGACACCGATATAGGAGCTCGGCTCTCCGCGAGGATGGCCATTGGCCAGCAAAGAATTTATGTTGTTGTCGGCTTCATTCGTAATGTCCAGTGCAGAATACGTCGGTGGATATCCAGCAGCTCGAGTACGGACGTTGGAATCCTAAAACGTCGAAATAAATTTACCATGGCTTTCTTAGCTACTGTAGATGTTCCAGATTACTTCTATGACATTTCTAAAGAATTTTATCTGGTTAAATAAATTGGCTGCTTGGTCTGCTTTAGAGGAAATGTATACTATAGCCCGCGATGAGGAAGACCTGTTTTAGATAATAATATGCAGTTGAAAATTGTATTACTCATAACTAGACAGATTCATGCAATAATTCGAAAAGAAATCGAGCCGCACCCTAACGGCAGATTTAGGATGGCTTTGTTTGTCTTTTTTGTGCGTATTATTCATAAGAATCTGAATAGCAAGGCTTTGACCTTTGAGATAACTGAACAATTAAGTTGACCGTAGAAATTTTTTGTAAGTGACCTAATATGGTAAGAGTAACAGATTTCTAATTTCTCATTAATTCAAAAGTGTAGCTGCAGTTCAGCTTAATTTTTAGATCTGTATTAAAGCGCGAATTTAAATTTTCATTATTCACGTGTGCGATTAATTTGTTTCTGATCTAACGAAAGTAGTTTTGACGCGAACAGTTTTGACCACCAAAAATCCCACATTCCAGAAGAGTAAGTAGATGCATCCACAAGAGTAAGTACTTTGTATTTACTTTGTATTTAACTTTATTCGATTCGCATCAGAACAGGTAGTCCATTCCAGCTAGGTGGCAATACAGTACAATATAAAACAAACTTGCCCGTACAGAATTTTGCTGACGCACCATGAGCGAATGCCTAGTACTGTTAAAAAATTTGCTCATATTTTTTGCAATCTGGTTACTTCTGTGCACTAGTGCAAAGTAAACAAAACCAATTTATTCACCTGTTAATATTGATATTTTCATTTTAGTTAGCATACACTACTCTAGGGCATATGTAATGTTAGTATGAATGTAATGTAATGTTTCCATGTTTCCATTTTAGATAGCATACACGAGGGTAGGGCATGTAATGCTCGTACATGCCACTGTGCGCATCAAAACTGTCAAATGTCGATGTATAAGTATAACACATAAGTCTACGCGGCAGTTTTATTTAATGATCCTCTGCTAACGCAAACCTTTTTATCAACAATACAAAACGAACTACACTAGGTCGACTAGGATAGCTATGTATCAATAAGCATAACCACCAATAACATCGAACAATGAATGCCACTGATTTCGTTGTGTGGATCCTGAACGACACTTCAAGCAGGTAAACAGGCTATGTGTGTATTTCTGCCAGTTGAACGGGTTTTTCAAACTTCGCCCCGTAGTTCGATTTTATAAAATTTACGTAAAAGTCCTTTTTTCAGTTTGTTAAAGTTTTAGCTTCCAAAGCTACAGGACAAAAGTAGGTACGGTAGTAAGTACTGGTAAAGGTACTTACAAACAGCATGCGATGCGAGGATCCATTTGCGTGAGAAATACCGAAAAACTCCGGGTCAGCAGGATCAACAGGCGCACACGTCCCATACTTTTGAGATAATTTGTAATACGCTAAGCAGCAACATCCCAGCACCAGTAGAAGGGCTCCTACACAACTGTTCATCAGACAAATCCCAGAACGGTACAGCACACTATACGTTATATATTTATTTGAATATAGATATGCCATATGTTTTTTCTAATAAAAATCGTATGCTTTTAATTTTTAGTTGTAAAGATGCGATGGATGTTATAACCAAAATTGTGCTTTGGAACTAAGAAAAGAGATTCTATGCGTACAAACCTCCTGCCAGAGAAAAAATTAGTGCACAGACGGATTCGCTGTATATCAACGGCATGTTTGACGCCGGTGTAGCCAATACTGGAAGCGTCAAGAATGGTTCAGCCATTTAATTATCAACATAAATTAACGTTGGAATAAATTAAGTACGAATTCGACAATTGGCGGCAAAGGAAAATGTTGCCACGTTGCGAAACGACTTTCTGTTATGCCAAATCTATTCACAAGATATTTAATTTACTAAACTAGTCGCGTAAATGTGCGTTCATAAAAAGAGGTACTCTAGATAATCCGGTAATCGTCTAATGCTATAAAATCAAAACATTGTCCTAGTGCTGGCAGACCGGCAAATTACTCTTCCCAAATTGTGGAGTGTCACAAAAAGCGGCAATGACTCGCTCGTTTTGATTACTCATTGTGAGTATCGGATTGTCACATCAAACATATAGATATGTCTTCACACGAATTCGGTATGGTACAGACCGTACAGTAAATCTGATTAAAGGAAAATGTCAGTGGCGTATTATCGGGTGACTTTCAGGAGGTGCAGTCAAACATATTGACCCTAAAAGACATGTTCCTTGTCTCCACCCGTGCGAGTACATTATTAACATATCTTTTCCAAAATACATTATGAAGGTACAAAAAATTTAATTATTTCACGCGTTAACAAATAGCGCGACATCTGTTCTGATGTAATAATGCATTGAAACTAAAAAAAGTAAGAGATGCAACACCGACTAAAAGATACATGTAAATCAAAATTTTACATGTACATTTTACAAGAATCTGGACTGAAAGCTACGCTAGTGGCAATACCGTCACCCAGTCGGGTATTACAACGGTATAGTCTTTCACAGGTTAATTGCATTCCAACGCTACAGCACGCATCCAAAGCTTCATAAATACAGTACCTATGCAAATCGACTAACTTGAGCAGCTAATAATTATTAGTGTTTGGAAATGTTGTAAATGTCGACATATATGTATCATACAAATACAATTTATCGATGTATGTTAAATATTAAATTCGGATTAAAGTGGGAAGGGCGAGACCGTGTGGATTGTGCACATAAGATCATGTAACGTCGTCACGTGCATTAATATTAAAAGGACCTGAAAGAAGCGGATGACCTTGACGGGTGCACGAAGCATAAATGCGCAGTAAAGCATAGGCTTACTATAGTCCTTTTGGTTAATTTGAGATTAGCGCAGTATTAGTTAATAAGGATTGCATATCGGAGTGCGTCTTCTTGTACTGTACTTACGTCAAGAATATCGATTACTTATTAATATATAAGTTACCACAATTCATGTGCGACATTGATGGCTGCACTTGGAACTGACAATGTGAATATATAGCTTCGGACGGCATATAAGTTTTATATTATTTGATGTGTACGAGTAGAAGTACACATCAATGAACGCTCAACTCGAATTTCCGTGCATTGTCACGAGCACTTTCCCTTTCACCGTAACCTCTTTATGTGTTGAAAGTAACTATATACAGTTCGGAAGCCGCTTTAAGTCCAAAAGCCAATGGAACGTAGTAAATCGATCATTTTTTATTTGCCTTTGTGACGTCAAGGACACTGTTCAATCAGAAATCGTCCTAACAAAGATACAGTGAGAATATCGGCCGATTATATAATTTTCATGATCAGTTAGCAGAAACAGACCAATGCTATAGTGCGCACACGAAACAAAATTTTTAAACAACGAGGTGATTGTGCTTGCCGTGGAATCGAAATCATTTCACAAGTATCTAGCTTTTATAAAGAAATGCAATGAAACGAGAGGAATGACAACCGGAACAAGTCTGCCATGCATTTCAATTTTTCACCAAATTAAAATTTTTCTATCGCAGTTAAATTATTATCAGAAATCGATCATAACCATCGTTTCCTCGCGAAAATGGTTGATGATCAACTCGACCAATGCTCGATCGATGTCCAGCCGATATCACAAGCGCTGAGCTGAATGAACGTTCACGCAACAGGAATGCGAATTGTCTCGTCGTATGTCGGTGGCGGTGGAAATGTCGCAAATTCCGGTAATAAATCCAGCGATGTAATAATTGTATTAATATTAAAAGGAATGCTGGAGGAGATGTTCGGTATGCTGCCGTAAGGCGGTAAGGGTGTCGGCAAATTCGTCATACTGCCATAGACGGGAGGTAAAAGCGAAATCAGATCAACGGAATCGCTTCCACTTTGTTCGTCTACGGTGGGTGGCAATGAGGAGTGATAATCGGGTGGAGGATCGGAAGACATCATTGGTGAACCGGCTCCAACCACTTGACGATGGGTAGTTTCATGCAGCAGTTCTATTATGCGAGTCGGTCGTGGTCTTGTCGTGGTGCTAATAAGAATTTCACAATCTTCCGATGAACCCTTAAAACAGCGACGGTCACTGTTTTTCAGTATACAGCGCAGGAAGATGGCGAGCAGTAACACAGATGGAACTACGGCGGCAACTGCAAACAAAAAATGTCCTCTCAAGTCGTGCTAAAAGGATAGTTGTATACAAGTACGTACATCTAAAATTCAGAAAAATAAGAAAGCTAACATACATAACACTACATTAAGAAGAGCGGACATGTTCCCGAAAGCACAATAATAATTGTATTTAGCTTCGAACCATTTAGATAAATCTGAACTGCTGAAAATATAGTATAACTGACAAAGCAATGAGCCATATTCAAGACCGCGGCCAAATTAGTATTGTGTAAGTGCGTACTACGAGTAGGTATTTCACATCGGAATACGAAACATGAGAACTGCATAGTTTTGATCGCAAAAAAATTAAAAACCTGGAGTTTCGCAAATTTTTCTGCTGTTTTCAAATTATCTAAATATTTATTCTTTGGTTTATACATAACACTATTGGAGTACTGAACACTATTTAGAAAATAGTAATTATTCACTTTTATAGCTTCGGGACAAAACTCTTTTTGGTCAATGTCATTCGATTGGCTTATTCAGCACTTAATTCCAAATCGAGTACGTGAACAAAGGGCTTTAACCTCGTACTTCACAATTTTTTGTACTTGCCAAATAGCACAAACAAATTTGCGATATCGCCAAATAGGAAGTCAGAAATGGGAACAAAATGTATATGTCATACTATGTATAAACTACAAATTGACGCAAAAAAACATTTACGCAAGTAAAATTAACATTACCGGCGCTCACAATCTGCAGTAAATTCATCGGCGCAGGATGCCGGTAAGCTACAGGTACAATATTTATAACACTAGATCTATGTACTGACTGCTTTCCGCGCACGCATTGGATTACTATCGAAAAATAAATTTCCGACACGCCTTAACTTTAAGCTTGTAAAGTCCAAATTATACAAGTAAATTTATTGCAGATTGTGAGTGTCAGCGTCCAGCTGCGCTTTCGTAAATTCTTCAATTTGATAGAAGGACGATCAGCACACTATTACCGCATACAGTAAGCATCTTGCCTTTCGATTCGAGATTCGGATCTTGCTGTTGCATCACACAGGTTTGAAATTGCGCCTTGTGAATGCCCAAACGAAAAGTCTGAATTTTGGTTTTCTGAACTATAAATACATTGCTATGGAACATGTAGCGCTTACAAACTAAAGCCTTTATTACACCTCTGTAAAGATATGCAATCAAATCTTGTCCGAGCAAAAAAAGGCATTTCCAGGAAGTCCACAAAGAATTTCGTAACTTTGTCGCACTGTTGCAAATATGCACGTAGCTGTCGTAACGTTGCATTAATTGTGCCATATGGCATAGTAACCACTTGGCTAGCACTTACCGCAAACCCCGAAAGTAACCCAATCCCACATATTATACGGCAGCAGTTGGACAGCGGCGAATTGGTAATCCCAAAGATAACCGTGGAATGATTCGCGTATAAGAGCACCGTACTACTTTAATTAAGGATTGGAGTTACTGATAAGGAAATATGGGTGCATGCGCTGCCGCCCGATATGTTCGCTCGCACCAGCACCGCACGCCGATCAACTGATTGAAGCAGTGATCGAACAACTTAAAGGACAAATCCAAAAAGCTGTGGGAAATTCGATGCCGCGGTGACGAACGATCAATGCTTGGACTGCAAATATAATTGTATCGGTTTTCCTTTTAGGCTTAGAGTACCATGACAGCGGCAGTAGTAGCAGGCGACGGGGTATTTGCGTAACAACGAACGGAACACGTGCAGCCGTTAGAGAGTGTTCAATGTGCAGCTAACTGCGTCGCACCATTGACATGCGCTGTATTCTCGGTCGGAAACGTCGTCGTCAGGGCAAACCTGAGTTCCGGTACGCGGGTTGCATTGTACCACGACGTGCCGTGCCAATCGATTCTCGCACAAAATGTCCAACAGCAATTCTAATTAAACCACACCAGTCTGCGGGCCCAAATGTTAACGTTAGCGTCGCCCGCGAATGTGGCGTATTGAACCGTGACACCAAGGTTTGCTGCATAAACCTTGCCGGTAAACTGCCATTCAATCGTGTAAAACAGCCTTGAGGATGCAATATGTAGTACTTAAGTAATCATTCAATACCAGCGCGCCAAACGAAACAGGTTGCAGGTTATTAATGGTAATCTTGTGCATAGCGCGGTTATGGTGTGCAACGGCGATAAAAAGTCATATTACAACCGTACTGCTTGGCGCTCGGCCAGTTCAAGTTGTTTATGAATGGCAGCGGTAATGTGACGATTGACGCGCTACGCTGACCAGTCCTTTGTTTGTAACTGAGAGACGGTACAAATACATGACAAAAAACTTAATGGCATGTACAGTGTAGGCAGGTAAGAATATGTGCATAGTGATGGTTTTTTAGGTCTGCAGATTGCGGAACTACGGTTCTGTGGATTCTGGACTAATTAACTACCACAGCCAGTTCAGCAAAATTGTTTTTTTCATGCGCGAATTGTATTCCGGAAGTTATTTTAATTTCAATGACGTCAGTTAATGTTATCTCACTGGTCAGCTGCAGTGTGCTAACATAAACTATTGCATGCATATGATCGAGTATTGTAACTTGCAGTTGATTCATTAGTAAAATTAGTACGAAACAGACTGAGATCACCAAATTAACTAAAAAATATATATGTATAAATAAGTATGTGTTCATGCCTATGTTATAATCGGTAATATGCTGATTTAAAAAAACTTGCATGCAACGCACATCAAGTTGCTTGACCTTTTGTTATATTTCCTGTCTCTAAGAGCCTTGTTGAAACATCTTTAAAATAAGCTAAGTAATCAAAACCGGGAAGGTCGTTGCCGTTTCTGTGTAAGACGGGTTCCCCCGAAAGACCGGCGAATGTGGGAGCGGTTATTTATGCAAGAAACTATAACAGTACGGAACTGTAATGAGACTCCTAATTAAAGGGCAAGTTAGCAGATCTTAGAGGTGGAAAATACTGAATCATAGGTGCTTAAGTAATTTTCAATGGCAACACGAGCGCAACATCCAGAACAGATCCGAGGACGAAACGCAATACATAGGTATCCGTGTTTATGACAACATCTGCATATCCGCAGAAATCTGTGACTGACTTACCGTTAGGTTATCACTTATTACTGTAGCAGTTACGACTAGGTACTTACAATTAATGGTTCATACTTTATATGGTACACCGGCACTGGAACGCAAAATAACCATACTTCTAGCTATAAAGCATGCATGTACCGTATACTGTAGATGTCAAAGATGTGATTGTGAGAAAATAGTTACAACAAAACACTCTTTATGTAAAGTATAGAAGTATTGTAATACCTTTGACCTATTGTGCAATAGTTTTCAATAGCTTAAAATTTTTACTTTTATATATTAAAAACAATGATTTGACTGCATACGAACGGCACCCATACGGGATCATGTTTTAAGCATTTTGTTAATGAACTTGGTCTGATTCTGATAATTGTTTTACAATTATTTTAATGATTTTGAAGGTATTTAAATATTTATGCATGGTTAGCATAATAACACGAAAACATTTTGAGAGCGTTTCAAACTTCAAAACACCCGTGCTCTCGACTCTCGTATCAGCCGTACGTATGCGTACAGAAGCTCCGCAGGCACTTATCTACGGTAATTCTGTGCCAGTCATCTGATCTGGTCATGCAAACGGTGCAAATTCCAAACTTCTGCGACTTGTTGAGAAACGTATTTAATGTAAGTCAGTTTTAAAATTTAGTGGGAGTTATCAGACTTATTTCCCGTGAGGATCTTTACATCGGCATAATGTCTAGAGTAGTGTTGTTCGTCTTCCTGGCAGGTAAGAAACAGGAGAGTTAAACTAGATTGACTCTTCAGTGCCTGAGCAGTGTTTAGTCATCTCATTGTCAGTGGAAGTTTGAAAATCCTCGAAGTTTGTTTGTATAGACCTGCGCTGATGGTTGTCATGTTTATTTTTATAGGGCTATCCTCCAGTTTGGCCTTGAAAGTGGCCGTTCCCGATTTCGGGCCCTATTACACCGCGTCGGGGGTTATTCACCTGCCCTACGCGGAAATCAAAGAGCCCTTCACAGCGTATTTTGACCTAGAGAACAACAGGAGCCGCATTGACTACTATGGAGGTGGGTGTTTTGTGCTGACGTAATGCCGCTGCGTTGGAGCATTCACTGTAAACAGCACGTGTCTTCCTACGCAGGGATGGTCATGACCTACCAGCGGGGGGATCAGATGACGTACGGCGTCTCCTACAAGGTGGCACCCGAGACAACGGAGACCCAGACCAACGTGCAGACATGCTTCCAAGTCAATGGCACCAAGGATAACGAGATACTACCTCAGTCAATTGTGCCAGATCTCACGGAATTCACTGTAAGAGCTTGACTTAACCATTAAAAGTAGAGTATACAGTTATTTTTACATTTCGAATATTGTTAAATGCATCTTTTAGCAGAAATTTTTGGTGTGCGGAAATGTTTCTCGACTTTGCGTCGTATGCCTTTTTTTCATAAATCTCTCTAACATTAAAATTAACTTTAATCAGTTTTGCAGGGAAAATATTTGTTTTCCTTGAAACCATGGCAAAAAAACAACACTTTAATTTTTGTCAAGTGTTTTCTGCCGCTTGAAAGTAATATACGAGTATTTATAATTGTGTTGGCTTCCAGTAACAGCCAGTTTTAAATTCAAAACACAATGGCAATGGTCATTTTGTGGACTGCTCAGTGTCATTGCAACGCTTATTTTGTGCATATTCACGCTTTTATGTATGTAGTGCTTACTGGTTGGCGGTTTAAAAAATGTGCAGAGTTATCCTTTTGTTGTCACAATGAGGAGGTGGTTCGGTTTCGATAATTAAACTTACGGCTAGATTAATGTCGGATTTTCTGTTTAATTACATTGGCAACTGAAGTACTTCCCTTCATGTTTCAATTTGTTTGCAGTATAAAGGTGAAGTGTCCTGCAAATGGGGAACATGTGAGCAGTATTTGCTAGTCACTCAAGTGGGCGACCAGATGAACCGCTACACCTTCCTGCTGACACGCTCAAAGGATGGCGCTCCCATCCCGCGGCATTATGAGATGAAGGGATATGACAGCCTAATCGGAAGTCATTATGATAAATACGTAATCTCCTATATCCAGTTCGATCCGGTCAAACCCGATCCATCAGGTAAATTGATTATTCCATATGCGCATTAGCGGGAGTATCTGTAGGATTAAAATGGCAACGCATCAGCTGACTATGAAACGCCCATACAGCCGAAGATGGTAATCGAAACTGATGTGAACAATTATGAGTTATCTACAGATTATTGGAAATCAACGTAGTTACATAAATTTTCTTTATCTGGAGTAAATTTATATTGCTTTATTTAGTGCAAATGTAAAGTTTCATCTGACTTTTATGAGATTCGATTACGGGTGCATCGTTTATGTAAGGTAATTTATGCCTGATAAAATTTTAGTGCCTTTTACACCGTTATATATACTGTACTAGTACGATACTGATTCGAAGGAATGATTGCTCGCGACTGTACACTTTGCTTCTATGACTGTTTCGCCTTTGCATTGAAATACGTAGTGATGATTAGACTGGCGGTAAATTTCTTTGATTTTTGGAATGCTGCTTAACTGTTATTCTTTTCATCTTTTTTAGTATTCGATATTCCGCAAGGATTGGTATGCGGTGGATTTCCTGGTCCCGGCTCGGGTGTGGAGCACATTGTGGAAGCCAACCCCATGCACGAGTATGTGCGTCGTGATCATAGCCACATCCACCACGCTTTCGAAGACTTCAAAAAGAATCATCAGCGGGACTATAATGACAAGGAGCATGCCGTTCGCATCCGTCATTTCCGTCATAATTACCGCTTTGTTAAAAGTCACAATCGGGCGGGCAAAACTTATAAATTAAAGATCAACCATCTGGCTGACCGATCCGACGACGAACTAACCCGTCTGCGAGGGCGATTGCCTTCCAAGGGCAAGGGAAACAACGGCCTTCTCTTCAATAAAAAGCAGTTCAAGAAGAAGGATATTCCCACGGAGATTGATTGGCGCCTGTATGGAGCGGTGACGCCAGTGAAGGATCAGGCTATCTGTGGATCGTGTTGGAGTTTTGGCACTGTGGGATCTGTGGAAGGTGCGTTGTTTGTGAAGACCGGCAAGTTGGTTAAGTTGAGCGAGCAGAATTTAGTGGATTGTTCATGGGGATATGGAAACAACGCATGCGATGGAGGCGAAGAATGGCGCGCCTATGAGTGGATTATGAAACATGGAGGCATTGCCACCGATGAATCTTATGGATCATATTTGGGAGCGGTAAGGCATTGATTAGTCATTTGCTGAAAATTGATTGAAAATGTGGAATTTATAGCATTATAGTACAGTGAAATCATTTGCAGAAAATTCTCCTTTTGTAGGTTATTTCAGTGTGATTTAAAAATGGTTATCGTACTGTGTCGATTTTTTGTTTTTCAACCAAGAAATGTTTATGAACTTATGTGAGCTCTTATCTCATTTATTGTCGCTGACCACATTTCGCGTTTAATGTTGTTATCGGCTATTGGTATTGATAGCAGTTTTAATCAAAATCAACTCAACTCAAGTTTCTCCACTCTTCAGGATGGTTACTGCCATTACAACTCTTCGAATACGGTCATCGGCGCAAGAATTGCATCCTATGTCAACGTGACTTCCGGTGATGAAGAGGCGCTAAAGATGGCCATCGCCGTGCAGGGCCCGACGGCCGTGGGTATCGATGCGGCGCATAAATCCTTCAGCTTCTACTCTCACGGTGTGTTTTACGAGCCGGATTGCAAGAACGGGCCTGACGATCTCGACCATGCTGTCCTGGCTGTAGGCTACGGGGATTTGAACGGGGAGCCATACTGGCTGGTGAAGAATTCGTGGAGCACCTACTGGGGTAACGACGGTTACGTTCTGATGAGCCGTAAGGATAACAACTGCGGAGTAACCACTGATGCTACCTATGTTAACATTGCGGCTTGAAGCTGTTGTTTTAGTACTGTTAGTTGCAATTTTGCTCCAAAAAGTTGTGATTTTTTTGGTTAATTTTGTTTCATTTTTTATCGTTTCGCAGTTGTGAGTTTAGTTGAGCTTCATTGTGATTTAAGTTGACGACCTGTTTCACATTGGAACGTGCGTACGTAGTTATCCAGTCCGGTCGGCAGCCGGAATGACTCGGTTGACCAATCGCTAAAGTTGTTATCGATGTGGTACTTCTTGCTGTGTTCTTCAATGAACAGTTTCTATTGCCGAATAAGAAGCAATACTCTCAACTACACATCTGCACCTTATTGTTGTTTTTGTTAAGCTTTGAAAAGGCTGAAAAATCTATCACGTGTGCTGCCTGCAAAATTAGCTTGAACATTTTCTGAATATTTATCTGTGTGCTGTTATTTAAAGGACACCTACATTAACATTTTGTGTTTCTTGATATTGTTTCCCACCTCATCTGTTACTTACCATATATTCCTAGAATCTATGGGAAATAACTAGCGCTAAATGTGCAAATCAGCTGTTTATTAAGGGCTTAAACGCTGTCTTCCTAGTTCCTGCTCTTAAATTCACAATCCGCTTCGCATAGCTTTTTGAGCGCGTCAGTATCAGAAGCAAGCCAAGGGCCTTTTATGCGCTTCCACAAACAGTCACTAGTAGGCACTGCGTAATAATTGCATCCTGAAATGCAATTCCATAACCGGATAGAAAGATTACTGCCACTTCCCATGCCAGACTTGATACCGAAAGATGTTTCATACGCGTAGTTGGGAACTTGGGAGTCACGACTCTGGCTAACCATAAACGTTGCTGTAACGTCTGTAAGTACTTCTGTTTCCAACCGCACTGAACGGCGATTACTTGTTATCCAGCAACAGCACGCCTGAGCGCGGATGCGTCGAATATCCAAAACAAAACTTACCAAAAGTTAAAACTGAGAAGTGTTGCGAATTAATTTTGCGTGTTTAATTTCATTTGGTGATTGTTTTTATTTTCGTTAGTTCGTTTTACGCGAAATGGCTCAGCCAAGCCTACCCGTATCTGCGGTAATTCGATCAAAGCAGGACGGTGGAGAACTGAAGAAGGCCAGCAGAGATGACTACCGAAAAGCCAAGGAACTAGAAGAAGCACGCAAAGCTGGCACGGTTCCTGCTGAACAGGACGAAGAAGGACGCGATATTAATCCCCACATTCCTCATTATATCGCATCTTCCCCTTGGTATCTGGGATCCGTCGGGCCCACACTCAAGCATCAGCGTATTCCGGACGAAAAGGTGAAAGTTGCTGCCCCCATAACGGAATGGTACAAGAAAGGTGTGACGGGCAACACTGCCACCAAATTCAGAAAAGGCGCTTGCGAGAATTGTGGTGCGATGACACATCAGAAGAAGGACTGCTTGGAACGGCCGAGAAAAATTGGAGCAAAATATACTGGGACGGATATCGCCCCTGATGAGCATGTCAATACTGCAATTGGACTGGATTTTGAAGGTAAGCCCAATCGGACCAGAAACCACGCTGCACGATAGTGTTCGTTGTGCGACAATTCGTGCTTTCGGATAACTTTTGCTTATGTTAAATTCGTCGATATGTTAAAATAAAATTTGTGCGATTAATTTGTATTAACTAGTTTGTTTGATAGCGACAAATGCGAATTTATAAAACAGAAATTTACAAAACCTGACTTTACAAAAGCTGCATAGGAGCTAAAGTTTCCTGGTTTCGACGACTAATGATTTACCAAACATGATTTACACAAGCTAACATTTTCTGGAAGCTGCCAATCAGACATACCTAAAAGTAAACACTGTTCAGGTGAAGCAGTTAAGAACGGATATGGTAACGAAATATCTTTCTGTAGGCAAACGCGATCGGTGGAACGGCTACGATCCCAACGAGTACAAAGCCGTGGTAGAAGAATATTCTAAATTAGAACAAGTCAAACGCTTGTTGAAAGCGGACAAAGTGCAGCAGGCGGACAACGCAGAGTTCCGCGAACGAACCGCCGAAGAAGATGCAGAAGTAGCGGAAGTTAAACCGGACGGAGATCAGGTAGAGGATGAAGACAAGTATGCGGACGACATGGAAATGCCTGGCACAAAAGTGGATTCAAAACAGCGCATCACCGTCCGCAACCTGCGTATCCGTGAAGACACGGCCAAATACCTCCTGAATTTGGACCCCAATTCAGCATACTACGATCCCAAGACCCGCAGCATGCGAGAAAATCCGCTAGCCGATCAGCCAGTCAAAGCTAGCAATGTCACATTTGCTGGCGAGAATGTTGTACGATATTCCGGCGAAACGAATAAAGTGGCACAATCCCAGTTATTTGCATGGGAAGCTTCGGAGAAGGGCATTAGTCTCAACCTCCAGGCCGATCCCACGAAGGCGGAACTGCTGGGAAAGCAGTACGAAGAAAAACGGAATGAGTTTAAAAAGACCATTGAGCGTAGTGTACTGGATAAGTACGGCGGCGCGGAGCATTTGGAAGCGCCACCGAAAGAAATGCTCTTGGCCCAGACCGAGACGTTTGTGCAGTATTCGCGACGGGGCGAGGTTCTTAAGGGTATGGATACCGTTGTCGTACGGTCGCGCTACGAAGAGGATGTTTATAACAATAACCATACGTCGGTCTGGGGATCATACTGGGAGAACGGGAATTGGGGATACAAATGTTGTCATAGTTTCGTCAAGATGTCATACTGTACGGGAATGGCAGGAATATTGGCTAAAAAAGATAAAGAGTCTGGGGATACTCCGCTAGCTGTACCGGAAGTCCTGAGTAATCCTGTGGGTACGGAAGAACAACAGCGGAAAAGAAAACTTAGCACTTCCAGTTCCTCCTCTTCGTCATCGTCGTCTTCCTCCTCATCTTCTTCGTCGGAAGAAAGTTCTTCCAGTGAGGATGAGGAAAACACTCGCAAAAAGAAGATTAAAGCCGCCATGAAAGCTCAAGAAGAGGAAGAAAAGGAGGCCAAACGATTGATGGCAATGGATGAACGGAAACGACCGTACAATAGCATGTACACTGTTAAAAAGCTGACGGATGAAGAGATTGAAGCCTATAAAATGCGAGAAATCCGGGCGGATGATCCAATGGCTAGTTTTGTTAAGAAAAACTGATGCATCTGAAACAAGCACTTTATGCATACTGAAATCTTATCTTATGTACATTATCTTATGTACATGTACATCTTATCTTATGTACGTACTGAAATCTTATGTACATTGTGCAGTAATAATTTTTATGTGCTTGCTTTAATTTAAGATTATTTAAGGTGTGGTATTGCACCGGCAGCGTTACTGTGGTTTAAAAGTGACTATTCATTTTTTTACCATGTGGAATCTACGGTACAGTACTTTTAGTTCTGTCTGTAGCTGCAGATTGGTGAAAATAACTGCTCCTAACGCACTGTACAAACGTTTGACCAAGACAAAACATAGCACAGTTGATCACATATAATAATGGATTGTTAGAGAAATAATAAAAATCGTGCAGGGAGATGTCAGGTGGGAACAGTGCGCAATATCCTTCGTAGTTCGTACTTCGTAGTGAAATTGTAAGTACGCTGTCGTGCAATATAATTGAAAGACGTTGTCAGATCTTCCTATACCACTTCCCAGACCACGACCAGTCGGAGGAATAGAGCGACTCTTAATCTCAACTTCTTATGTATTTCATGGAGCGAAAGTTCAAGGATGTTGATGTACAAGTATGAGATGATATGCAAGGAGGAAGAAGAGGATCCGGAACTCGAAAGCCTGCTGAAAGAGAAGACACGAAAGGAAACACAAGGGATGCGTGAAGTTATACGTTACCTGTCCGACGCTAGATGGTAGCTGAAGCGTATGAGAAATCCATCAACCTGGCGCTACAGGGCATGAAGATCGAAGGGACCGAAAGGTCAAGGCAAACAAGTGGGATCAAGTGGGTAGCCTGTTACGTCACGAGACTATCCGAAGATGATAATGCACGTCGACGAAGTAGAGGAATGACCCCTGACAATAGGTGAAAGGTCACCCAGAGGTCAGTTTGAACAGCCTCACTTGGAAAGAGAAGACCAGAGCAAAAGCCTGAAGTTAATCAGATCGAGTAACAAGACTCTACTTTTGTTGGGATTACAACTCTTGACATTTCTGTGGGCGACGAGCGCCTTATATAGCCCTGGGCACTCGCAGGTGCTGGCTCTTCGTACGCGCAGGTACGGGTCTGAGAACAATAGGGATTTAGAACCTAACCAATAAGAGACATCTGAGGACACGTGGACTAATCACACGGCTGCATCACTACACGTGGACTAATGAGAACATCAGGTCAACTAATACACTAGAACAATAGGTTGAGCTACGTCATCGAAGCGCGGTCACGTCGAAATGGAAAGTCGCGGTCAAAGTGACACTCGGAGTCGCGGTCATGACTCGCGTAGAAGATGTAGTAAAGCCTAAGCCTTAGTTGTAAGGGTAGAAGTAGTAAAGTAGTACCGATGTGTACTAAGGGACGCCAGTACACGTCACCCCCGCAAACGAGATTTCTCTGGATCGTAGTGGAACAAAAGTGAAGCTCTGCGGAACGACGTGGAACGAAGAGGAAGGAACATAGGGACATAGGAAAAAGTAACATCTGCTCCATCCGCATAGTGCGTGCAACATCTAGCACTATCGCCAAATTCCATCCCGACTATCCGGTGCCATCAAAAGTAAGTGACATCGCTCGGTCCGGTAAGTTGTTAGTGAGTTTGAGTGTTATAGGTCATCGGATCCTGGAGCGTAACTGGCAATCCGGAAGTCCAAGGAAGTGGAAAGGCGGAGAGCAGGAACGTCCATGAGATCCAGGGTGTTATCGTATTCAAAAAGATATCGAATCATACTGCACAGCTAAAATACGATGGAAAATGTCCTATAACTCCAAAATTACTGCTCCAATTACTTCCGCTTTCTTCCATGTTTCCATACTTCATCCATACACCGAACGTTTATTCAACACACGACCGAAGTGAGAACTTAAACTTGTCTTCCGCTAACGTATATACAGCAAAAATTGAGAACATATAAACGCGAAAAAAAATTGACAATACACCGCAAAATCATGACAAAAATGCCAACGCACAAGGTTACAAACCATGACATCACTGAGGTTTACAGGCTGACTGCAAAGAATTATCCACAGAATTATTACGACGATGAGCTCTAGGATCAGGGGCGACAAGGTTATCAGATGACTGGACACGAAGACGACTGCGCTGCACATCAGGATATGAGGAACGAGACTGCAAACCGGACAAATCATTACGTTTAGCATCCGCCGCCATACGAGCTCGCTCTGCTGACTGTTTACGACGTTCTTCATCTGCGTTACGCTGAAAAATATCCGAGGGATTGATTGAAGGATATTGAGGTCTTCCGTCACCATTCATAGGAACATACGCAATACCAGGAACCACAATTGAAGGTTCATTCACCACAGCATTCTGAGAAGGTTCTGCCGCAACATTTCCGCCCTTCATCGCATTCTGAACATTGTTCACCGCTTGAGCTACAACTTCAGGATTCACCACATTGCCAACCGCCACAGGATTCTGATCGTTCACAACAACAACACCGTTAGCATTAGCGACACCGACATTCTGACCTTGCTGCTGAGGAACAATGTTCTCTTCGTTAATGTCCATTTCCTCATTCGCCACAGGCTGATTCAACTGTAAAGCCGCCATGTTCTGCTGGACAACTTCCGCGTTCTGAGCTTGCCAACCAGGATTATTCACAACAGGCATAACCGCTCCAACAATAGGTACATTCTCCGGTACAACCAACTGAACACCGTTAACACCGTTTCCGCCATTATTTGCCAAAGGATACTGAGGATTTCGCTGCCACTGCTGAGCATTATTCTGATATCCGTTATAACCTCTTCCACGAGAATAAGGACGATAGTAATTCATACGCCGATTATTGCCACGACCACGATAATTTCCGCGATTACCATACTGATGACCGTTACTACACAAAGCATCAACCATATAATTGAAAGCTGCGTTAAGATCCATAACTACCAAGCAAAAATGACCAGGAAATAAAAGTAAAAGGTCGCAATAAAATCTCCAAATAAAAATGAAAAGCGAATACAAAGTTCTCAAACCACACACTGAATTCTGACTGCGAAACTCCAACCGCATTAGCGCTGACGCGCTCACAAGTTTTAATGACTGAACAACCGCACATCCGCAATTCGTACTTGCATCACACAGATTACACTGATCAACGAATAAAAAGTGAAATACGTCATAGTACACCGATCCGTACGACCAGAGTAAATACCGCGAAAAGCACTGACACAAAAATACTACCGTTCCTGTACGACGACTGCAAATAACAAAAGACAATTTCCGCGTAGTTACCGTAATACTACACACCATTCCAAGTAAAAACACAACAAATACGAACCGACAACAAAAGAGTTCAAAAAGTTCGCTGCTTCTTACGCGACTGAACAGGGATTTCAGGAGAAGATTCACGCGACAACACAACTGAAGGAATTTCAACAATTTCAGGACTGATTTCCCGCTGCCTCTTCCGCACTGCTGCTGGGGAAGGTTTATCAACATGCTGCGAATGCAATAACCCGCCATTGAACACCATCCGCGTAGGAAAGTCGACGACGCTGTCATTTCTCTGATGCAACTGCGCAATCAAGTTTAGACTCTCAATCGAATCAGGATGAGCAAATAAATACTGGGTTTTAAGATATCGATTCCGTTCTCTGGACATATTACGCACAAAATGGTTAAACTTCTTCACACTGATAAGTTTTCCGGCATGGTACAACTTGCCATTCAAAAACAAACGAGTTCCAGGATGAAGGACTATGTTACCTTTGCCATCACGTTTTGGAGGAGTTTTCTCGTGATACACCATTGGTTGCTCTTCAAATTCCGAACTGCGATCTGACTCAACTTCAACATTCACGTCCGCCAAATCAGCTAATCTCTCCGCTGTGTTAGGTAAAGGACCAGTTGAACACGACGCACATTCATCTTCATCATCAGACGTTTCGCTGGGAGTAGACATCAAGGTCGTAAAACTCTCAGTATCAGTCGTAGAGATCACCTTATAACGTTTCCCGTCTTCTTGATAACAATCGAACATTTCCGCTGATTTCTCGAGACCTGCACTGGAGTTGCCGCTGTGCACACTCTCAACATCTGCTACGTCACTGCGATTACCAATTTCAGGATCCGGTTCTCTCACGATATAATCAACTGCGTAAGGATCAACATCTGCCAAAAATCTCTGAGTTTCCGTCACATCTGACTCATTCGAAGGAATACTGGAGACCGAGATGAAAGACACTTCCGATTCATCAGAGCAAAGTTAACACTACTACTCGAACTGCTATTACTGGAAGAAGAAGAAGAAGAACTCTCTTCCTGCTTACGCTTAATCGCTTTAGGAGGCATGATTACCGAAAATATCAAAAATCGAAAAACCACAACAAAAGAGTTCACTGCTCTGACGAAATCACAACACTGTCAGTATCTCTTGAAGTTAGAGACCGCAAGAAATCTGCACTGTCATCGCTCTCAGCACACTGTACACAAAAACTGCCCTACCACGAGGGTTAACCATACGCTACTAATTACACCGAAAATTTACTGTAAAGTTGCCTTTTCCACAAACTGAAGGTTATTTCCGCATATTTGAACCACGATTGGGCGCAAGTCGTGCAATAAGGAAAAAGATATCCTACTACTTAAAATCTGATAATCTGAAAATCTGACCGCAAAAACTAACAATTCCATAATTGTGAGAAGAAAAACTGTACATCTGCACCGAAATACGCGCTAAAGTACTGAGGCGTACAATACATGAGAAGAACATACGTACTACGGGTTGCACTGACACACTGCCATACAAGGGCGATACACACATACACTGAACACGCTGCACAATTTCCTGCTATAAGCCTATAAAAGTCATCACCGCTTCCGAAAAATTTTCAGTTCTGTTTCCTCATACGTTTTCCTACCGAAATTATTACTAAGACGTTATATTTCCTTAAAGCGTGACCTATAATTACTGAAATGTCCGCTATGCTAAACGCTATTACTTCCTTATCTACTGCTCCTGCTGGACTGCATGTTGGTATCGAACAAATTTTCGATCGTGACACTACGAGTTTTTACACGCGAAAAATGCGACTGTATGAGGCTTTTCAGTTCGCTGTCCGAGCTATCATAGGACACCACACCAATTCT